CCGCTGCGTGCCCAGCGCGCCCGCCCGCGCGCCCCCGGAGCTCGGCCGCGTCTCTACCGCCAGTCGCGGCGCCCTAGAGCTCAGAACTCGGTCACGCTCGCTTAGGAGACTGCAGCTAGCCCCTCTCCGCGTGGCTAGCCCGGAGCAGCGGGAGTGCTGGGGACGGCACACGGGCGAGCCCACGGAAGCGGCCCTGCCGGCCCGGGACGTCCCCGCGGCTTCCCCAACGCCAGAGGACTCGCGCGCGCCCCGATTCCCACGCTGCCGGGCCAGTTCGCAGCTCCGGGCCATCGAGGCCCGCCCGCCGAGCCCCGGCCGCTCTCGGCTCTTCCTTCTCTTGCTGTCTTGGGGGCACTGGACCCGAGGGCCCGTGCCCGTTTCACTGAACCTTTTGTTGTCCTTTTTTCCTTTCCCACACGTTTATCAGAGTCTTTTCTTCACACCGTCGGGGCCTGTCCCCACCCGGCTCTCTCTTTCGCTTGTCTGACTTTTCTCCATCCGCAAGATGGTTCAGCAATGAAGTTCCCGAGCGAGCGAGACCTCTGGCGCCCTGCATCCGCGGTCTCTCCTGGGAGACGCCTCCAGGTTCACCCGCCCAGATCCCTTCTCCTGCGCGCGGCCTGCCGAGGACATAAGAACGTGTATGGTCGGTCCGGGTATTCTGTCTCCCTACATTTAACTAAAGCCAATCAATTCCTAACGTACCTTACACTGTTGTTCTCTAAAGCAAAGAAAAAAGAAAGATACAGTAATGACTCATCGGCCCGGCCAAAGAGCTCGGCGGATTAACGTGCCTGCTTAGGCAGACGCAGTGGGGGGGTTCATCCCCGGCCTGCCACGCCAGCCCCGCCCCCGGGGCGCACTGGTGGCGCACCCCTGTAATCCCAGCTCTTGAGAGGCTGAACACCGGCGATCACTACGAGTCCGATCTACCTAGTGAGACCTTGTAGACCTGTACTAAAATACCAAAATAAATAAATAAATAAATAAATAAATAAAGGCTCTTGTTTCTAAGACGACATTTCTAAGGAGGAGCCCATCAACTATAAGGAAGATTGGAAACATGATCTCGGGGTTCCCAGGATCTTCAGTGTTTCAGCACTTAATGCAGTGTGAATTGTGTCCGCCTCGGTAAGAGCGACGCTTCCCTGTCTCAGGCTGCTCCCTTGTCTTACAGGTGACAGAACCGTCGCGCTGGGCGACCTCATAGATGCAGTCAGTTATATAAAGGGTGAGTTGCAAGTCCTACTGGGAATTCTTACAGAGAGCATTTGAATACTTTGAAATTAATGCTAGAGAAAAATACTTTCCATTCATAAAAGTTTAATTTTTTTCACAGCATGTTCCGTTTTTGTGGGTGCTGTTTTAGACTTGAACAAACAATAACATATGAATGCTCACAGTGAGGAGCCAGGGAGATGGCTCAGTGGAATAAGTGCTTGCCTGGCAAGTCCAAGGGCCTGAGCTCAAGCCCCAGTTCTGCAACGAAACAAAACAACACAAAAAAACATAGTTTTGAAGTACATCCATTTTCCTACTTTTTCTTTTTTTTGCAGAACCAGGGATTGAACTCAGGCCCTTGTGCTTGCCAGGCAAGCGCTTATTCTACTGAGCTGTCTCCACAGCCCCTCCATTTTCCTACAAATGACTTGAGTTTGTTCTTCTTTATGTCAGTGTAGTACTCCGTTGTGTGTCAATGCCACCTTTTCTTTCTCCATTCATCCGCTGATGGACATAGAGGCCACTTCCAAGATCTAGCTGATCTGGGTTGTGCTGCCACAGCCTGGGCAGTGCGTGTGTCATTATAAAATGACACCTTTTTTGTTGTCTGTTATTAGTACGCGTGGGCAGTGCATAGAGATTACACTTCTCAGGAACAGTTGCTGCATATACTTAACACATCTTGGTTCTTTTTTCTCCTTTGCCCCCGTCCTGTCCCCGTCCTGTCCCCGCTTCTCCTCTCCTGGTCTCCTTCCCTCCATGAAGCAGGACTTTTAGAGCTGCTCCAGAAAGGGGCATGAACAACAGGAGAAGCGTGCTTGAATCAACAGGGGGCATCTGAGGGGATTCGCGGCAATGAGTCTTACTGCAATGATGTTTGCTTTGGGGAAGCCTTTATAGATTTCAGCAGAATAGAATGAATAACTATAAGAAAAGCTGATGGTTTCATTCCCCTTCTCAGCAATTAACACTGAAAATACTGATGATGAAATCAAAAAACAGGGGCTAGTGAGATGGCTCAGTGGTCTAAAGC